ACTTGCATCTGTGATAGACAGTTGTCCTCGGCGAGATATTTGTATTGTTCTGGGTGACTTCAGTGCGGTATCTGGCTGTGATCAAGCTGACTATGAGATGTCTGTCGGTCCCCATGGTTCGGCAGCTGATGCCAGCAGCGAGAATAGCCTCCTTTCCCGGGACTTTGCAAGTTCCCAGAAATTGAGGATTTCTGGCTGCTAGTATCAGTGCTCAGACCCACATCGTTGGACGTGGTACAGCGATGCGGGTAATGCAACCAAGGAGATCGACCACATCCTCATTAGTACTCGTTGGAGGATCCTCCAGAACGGCAGGGTATAGGAGTACCGACTTCTGAGGTACTGAGCCTAGATTAATTGTGGCTGCCCTTCAGGTCCACTTTAAAACTCCCCAGCGGTCCAATGACCACCCTAGGGTGTTTCATTTGGACAGGGGGAGTGTGGCTGGAGATTGCTGAGGTAATTTCTGGTCGTTTCACAGCATTCGAAAATCTGACAGACCTTGTACTTATAAGGGACACTTTCAAACGCTTGATGCAGCCCAAGAATTGACGGTTGAACGCCCAAGAGCAAGACATAGTATTATCTTTATTGGAGACATGGAAGCCACAGATGTTTGTCGTGTGGCTCCTTTGACAGGGGATCGTTAAACACTACGATAAAATGTGTTAGATGTCAAAGATTAGAGAGTGTTATAGGATAATATGGTATTGAAAAGAGAAAAGAGGGGAGAAAGTGAACTAGAGCTTAGATTAGTAGAAAGGGGAGGGTTAAGGAGGTAGGGTGATTGAGTGCATTATAGTGTCTCTGTCACTGGGGAAGGTATAGGAAAAGTGGAAAAGTAAGGGAATATCCGGGGAGAGGGGAAAATATTATATGTCAAAAGATAGAGGGTGTTATACGAAAGTATGGTGGCGAAAAGGAAAAAGAGGGAAGGAAGTAGAGCAGGGATTAGTAAAATGGAAAAGGTTAAGGGGGTACGTCGATTCAGTGAATTGCATTGTATCTGTAACTGGGGAAGGATTAAGAATATTGTTCACGGAAAACAGAGGTGGCTGTTGGAGAAATAGAAGAATTCAGGGGATTAGAAAGGGGGATTGGGGAAGGTGGTGAAGTATCAAGAAGAATGTCCGGAGGGGAGGGGTCTGGAGAAGGACATTGTTGTGATAGAGGGGATCTGTGCAAGTATTCACATGGGAGCGGTAGAGAGGGTGTAGGAGGAAGGGAGTTGGAGGGAACTTGAGGAGGAGGAGGATGGATATCTGCATATACTTTAAATGTAGGAATAGGAACAGAGGGATTGGGAGGTGGGTGAAGGAGTGGTGTTTCTTTGGGTGAAGAGTACTGAGAAACAAAGGTTCTCTTATGAGGAGAAGAGTAGATAGATATCTGAGGATTAGAAGAGGATGTAGTAGGAGAGGGTAGAGTGGAATGTTTAGGGTGCCTGGTATGACATATAAAGTGAGGAGGAGGGGTAGGTATCGGGGAAGTGGTAGAGATTGGATTATGTGGATTTAGACTGGAAAATGAATTTGACTCGCGAATAAGGTGAGTAAACGTAGGATGGTTTACGGTATAGGGGAGAGATACCTGGGGAGAAGCAGAAACTTGTGAAGATGTTGGAGGAGCAGAGCAGACTGTTTTGGAATGAGTTGAGACAAAAACCTCGTTGTGCTTCTTGTCTGGTGTCTCATAGAGTGAGGCCTAGTTTAAATCTGAGGACTGCTACCACACATTTGAGCTTATAGGCAGGGCAGCTCCTATAAAATACATTATGGGCATCTACACAATTGGCACATGTACGAGACTGAGCAGGGCAATTTGAATGGTCGTGGCCATCATGGGCACATAGAGGGCAGTGGGCTGTGGAGTGACATTGTTTGGCTGGGTGGCCAAAACCCCAACATTTCTGACATTGACAAGGAAGGGGTCGATATGGTCGGACATGATAAGACAATCCACCAATATGACCATCATGGGGCAGGTCTTCTCTGTGGAAGCTAATCATGGTAATATTAATGTGAGACTTTCACTGGCCATTGGGAGGAATAGTGTAACACTGTACTGCCACTGTATCATATTCAGTAATCCAGGTAAGTAGGTTATTTTCAGTCTGAGCAGTTCTTGTTGGAGATAGGACAAGCATTTGGGGAGACAAAAACAGTTCCAGTACAAGTATTAAGAGAGGGGGGAGGTTCGGCAGGAATGGGTTTGCCAGTAAGGTCAGTTAGGGTAAATAATTCACGAGCTTGGGATTCAGAGCGACTGCACTAGGTAACCTTGCCTACTTGTTTCTGGAGGCACTGCTGAAGGAAAGGGTATTCTCAGAATAGGGGACTGTGGGGGAAATCACAACGAATCGATCCCACTTGGGTGGGTCAAAGAGAGTACTCAGAAGGTTTGCAGAGGTAGAGGCATTAGAAGGATGAGAGCAAGAGGAAGTTGGGGTGGATGGGGTGGTGTGGAGTTTTGCAGGGAGGACAATGAGCATGAAGAGTAGTAATAAAGTAATAAACAATAAAAATCAAATTCAGATAGGCTAGTTGATGAAGGGCCTAAATGCCACTATTAAGTGTAAAGAATCTTTATTTTTGACCATGGTGTCTGAATAAAATGGGGAAAAGAAATGGTCTACCCCTCAGGGTCCCCATATGGGGTAAGGGCTAGGCAGTTAACCAAAGGAATACTGTGCCCATGATTCCTGGAAACTGTTCATAACTGACACAAAGCCAGCCTTTCATCCTTTCAGCATGGCTCTCACACCTTAGGAATGGGATAGAAGTGAATGAAGAAGATACAATAGAGGAAAGGAGAGAAGAAAAGACCAAGCAAATTTAGTTGAGGTGAGGGATGAGGCCTACCTTGGGCCTCAGTCTTTGTCTCCTAAGCAGTCTGATTGGCCACCCCGTGTGCACCCCCCCAAATGGTCATTGACTCGTCGTGATGTCAGTCATTGTGTAAAGTTCTTTACTGACATCCACTTGGTTAAAGTACACCCAGCAGATTAAATGTGGGCAAGAAAAACAAGATGAAAACAAAAACAATGTGTAACTGTACAATATAAATATTGAAGTGGGCAGCCTTAATTTTAGTTTTTTTTGGACAGCCCCCTCCAATTTATTTTGTTGTTATTTATTGGGCCCACCCCTGCCTGAGCTCTCCCATGACAACAAGCAAGGCATTGAGAGGGGATGATAGTATGAAAGGGAAAAGGGTAAAAAGAGGTTGCAAATGAAGTAAGTCCGAGATTAATAAAGAGCTATTATGAAATATTCAATGGGTAATACAGGTACAGATGGCTGTTGGAGTAGCAGAAGAGTCAGGGGTATGAGATAAGGGGACTGGGGAAGGTGGTGTAGTATCAGGAAGAGTGTCAGGAGTGGAGGAATCCAGAGATGGGCACTGTTGCGACAGAAGGGGTAGGAGGTAAGGACTTTTTTTCTTTTTAAAATAAATGAAAAAACACTGTGGATAGGGGCATGTACTTCTGCCATCCCATCACCAATGGGTTAACATTAACACACTTTCTAAGTTGCGCTTCTCTTTTACATATCATACATTATCTTGTTTACATATGTATTTACCAATTTGTTTCAATATGTATGATTTATGCTTGCATATATATATGTAGGCATCTATTCTAATTCATGAATATTGATATTTGATATTCCACAATCAGTGGATGGATGAATATATAGAATAAATAAGAGTCCTTCATTCTCTCATTATTTATTTGATAATGTATTACTTAATTTCCAACAATTGTATGTTGTAATCAAAAGTCCTTTCATAGTGTAGATTTACTCCTCTTGGTTTACAGAATATAATAGGTCATCCTGCAAACAATAAAAGGAAACTGAAATCAAGTTTTCTCCTATATTCTTTGTCTGCATAAGCATACATTTGTGTGTGTGTGTGTGTGTGTGTGTGTGTGTGTGTGTGTGTGTGTGTGTGTGTGTGTGTGTGTGTGTGTGTGTGTGTGTGTGTGTGTGTGTGGTGTGTGTGTGTGTGTGTTGTGTGTGTGGTGTGTGTGTGTTGTGTGTGTGTGTGTGTGTGTGTGTGTGTGTGTTGTGGTGTGTGTGTGTGTGTGTGTGTGTGTGTTTTTTTTATTTCATAAAGTTCATGATTTACCTTGAAAGCTTCAAGTTATTGATTTGGAAGGGTCTACATATCATGTACTATCAACTGACAGGTGCTAGTCAATGCCTAGTCTCATGCTGGCACTCATGGCTCTACTATTCACAGGAAAATTTAAATCTTTGATATATTCAAAGCACTAGAAGCTATTCATATATAAAATATCTTTTGACACTTCTACAAAATGTCTTTATGGATACCACTAAAGAGTGAGAAAGTGTGATTATCAGTGTTTACTAACACTTCTTTCTATAATTCAAGAGGAAGAAATGAGTGTTACCTTCACATCTTCATAAGGATGATTTTCAAGTGTGGTATCTACTTGTAATCTGATTAAAATAATGCTAAGCCAAATTTTGAAATGTATATAGTGATTTATCAGCATGTACACACAGTTTATATATATATATATATATATATGTGTGATGTGTGTGTGTGTGTGTGTGTGTGTGTGTGTGTGTGTGTGTGTGTGTGTGTGTGTGTGTGTGTGTGTGTGTGTGTGTGTGTGTGTGTGTGTGTGTGTGTGTGTGTGTGTGTGTGTGTGTGAGAGAGAGAGAAGAGAGGAGAGAGAGAGAGAAGAGAGAGAGAGAGAGAGAGAGAGAGAGAGAGAGAGAGAGAAGAGAAGAGAGAGAGAGAGAGAGAGAGAGAGAAGAGAGAGAAGAGAGAGAGAGAGAGAGAGAGAGAGAGAGAGAGAGAGAGAGAGAGAAGAGAGGAAAGAAGTAAGGAAAGAGAAATAGAAAAGGAGAAAAGGAAAGAAAAAGAAGTGGGAGAGATAAGGTAAAAAAGAGAAAAAGTAAAGACCAAAGGGAAAGGATTACTTTCCGGTTATCAATACTTCTTTGTATTGATAAATAAATAGCTCCTGAGTGTTTTCATTTTATTAAAAATTCTGTTCACTAACCTCTAAATAAAATTATAAGTTCTTGCATTATGTCAATCACAATAATCACTCCTCACTATACTCTTCATAAATCAGTAAATGAACTTATCTAAAGTGAATAGATTTTTTTTCTATAAAGAATAAAATACAACAAAATTATTCACACAAGTAAATTTCCTTTTCAGTGAACATCTTTTCTATGGTAAATATGAAGCTTCCCTCCAAGGCAAACAGCAACCATTTCTGGGATATCCTCTTCTATTTTCCTTCTCTCCACTGTCTCTTCTACCTTCTCCCTTGCCAGTCTCCTTATCTGATGCTCTCTTATGTTCATTTGTCCCCTCCTTCTCTTCTTCTTCTTCTTCAAGACTCTTGACTGAATGTGAATAGGGGGCGATATAGGTCTACCATCAGGCAATTCAATGACATCAGATTCCGCTCGGTCTAACTTTGACTTATTTCCAGCAGGCAAATTCCCTTTGCTTCTTAATTCTGCTATTGCATTCATCAGTGCAGGAGAGGGTCTTAGATAAAATGATCCTTTTGAACCCATTTTTACTTTTTTTATCATGTTATTTTGAAGAAGATCCACCTTTTTCTCTTCACTGTCACAGTGTATTGCAGCAGATGGCTTTTCATCTATTATTTCACTGCCAGATCTTTCACCAACAATGCTCTTATCTTGCAAGGCATCACTGCCTCTTTCAGCTAAGGTGCTGACTCTTAGCAACCGTGTAACTGGCCCATCTGAAGTCTGTCTCGTTACAGCAATGATCCTCTCAGATGGCTGCCTATTTGAAACAGCCTGGTATGGAGCCCCACTTATCTCTCTCTCTTGCAAGAAATCATTTTTGTAGGAAGAGGCTAATGCAGGTGGAACAATGATTGGTCTTGTACACTGCTGTGGTATTTTGTAATCAATGTTTGGATTTCTAGGTGCCATTCCAAGCACATAGGAGCCTAAAATGCTGCTGTTGTTTGTACAATCAAATACCTGAGATGCTGGTAATGTACCTGGTTCCGAATCAACCAAGTTTCCTGGAGCCTGAATAGGAGTATGATGTAAGGGTGGTCTTAGAGCCTGATTAACATGGCCTACTTGTGTCAGTCCAGTACTTTTATTGCAAATTTTCTGACCCAACCTGCTATGAGTAAATGGATTAAGAGCAACACTGGTAGTACTTGGGTTTGATGATTGATACTGAGAAGTACCTGGGGATGAGGTTGAAATGCTCAACATGGGAATGGGTAGATAACTGCTAACTGCTTTCTTAATAGGTACTGCAGGAACTATTGGAATGTTACAAGAGTTATTTCTGGGCAGTATCAAGACACGGGCATCTCTCTCTAGCTGCTTTTCTGTTGGTGTGTCAATGTCGCACCTATTTTCTTGTTTTGTTTCAGGAGCTTGTGTTAAAGTATGTATGGGAAATGTTCTATTCATCTGTCTTGAACTTAATGAATGGGTCAAAGATGACTCACTAGAAATACTTTCAAGTTGAGGATTATTTTGTATATGAAATTCACAACTACCTGAACTCTCTCCTGGCCATCCACTTTCACAAGTTTCTGTTTTTGGTCCTAATTGTGCTTGATACATGATATCTCTTTTGCTATCAGCATTTTCGGGACTGGATTCATCCCCATTACCACCTTCTACACCCGATGATTCCCATTCATCCCCAGTGGATTTAATATTTTCAAAATACTCCACTGAGTTGGAATCGCTAGGTGATATAGGATTTTCTGATGAGCTATCAGACAGAAAACTTGGGAAGTCATCAAAATCTTGCACTCCTAAGTCTGACACTCTTTCATCTTTAACAGAATCAGTTTCATCATGCTGTGGACTAAATTTTGTGCAACCAAAGCCAGGATTGTAAGTGAATGTATCTGTGCGTGATACATGACTTGGACTTAAGACACTAGCAGTGAGTTCATCTGAGTCTATATGTGTACTTTCACTTAGATCAAAATCTAAGTTCAAATCTTTGCAAATTTCATACTTTCTTTTCCTCGTGCCATAATACACCTTCAGTGAACTGGGGGGTTCTCCACCTTCAAAGCTATCTTCAAAGTCTACAAACACTTTCATTCTCGGGCTATAGCACTTTTTGTCATGTGGAATGGAGTTATCTAGGATACCACAAGTGAGAAAGTTATCCTCTACTGGTTCACTGAATAGTTTACTGTAAGAATCTCTTTTTTCATGTAACGTATCACAGTTATTGGAAGATCGACTTCCTTTTATGGGTAAATTTCCTTCTCTAATCTTTTGCTCTGCCTCTTTAATTTGAGCAGCATAATCTAAATCAGTATCAGAAGACAAGTCTCCCAATTCATTTTCTTTCTTTATTGTATCACACTGTAATCTAATATCTTTTTCCACTTTGCACTTCTTTTCTGGGACAATTATTTGAATATCATCATCATCTAATGAGACAATGGGCATCTCATCATCATCATCATCTATACACTCTTCCTTTACATTGATAACAAGGTTATTCTCAAGACATACTTTCCCTACAGTCTCACTCTGACCTGTTTTAATAACTGTCAAAAAATCCTTCTTCCCAGAGGAATGCACTCCCTCCAAACTGGCATGTTTAGTGCTCTTCACAAATCTCTTGGTATCCTCAAGTTCACTATCAGATAGCTTCCTTTTCTTGCTAACTTCCTTTGGTTTGCAGTTCCCCATGGCACCAAGCTTTTCTGGAAATGTACTTCCTTTCATACTGTTTGCAGACAGGGAAGAGGCACTTGAATGTTGTACTATGTCAAACAGTTTACTTTTGTTTGAACTTCTTGCATTGGGATTGAGTAAAATGTTATCTGATTCTAATTTGGATGGTAACTCAATAACTATTCCATCACTGAAATCACCTTTTATTTTTGATTTATTTACTTCCCTGCCTCCTTCAAAAATACACAGATCTTCATTTATCAGCTTGGAACAACCTTCATTAACATTTGGCTTCTTTGAAGATGTATGATTACTACTTGTTAACAGAGGGGACACAGCCAATGTCTCAGACACACTTTGCTTACAGTTAACATTGTTTTTACATAAAATGGAAATAGCCATTGTTTTAGGCACACTCTGCTTGGTATTAACATTATTGGTAAAAGGAAGGACCACTGCCCTTGTCTCAGAGACACTTTGCTTTGTGGCAGCATTATCTGTAAATGGAGGGACCAATGTCACTGTCTCAGATACACTTTGCTTGGTAATAGCATTATTATTTGCAAGTAGACAGGTCACACTTTGCTTTATTTCAGCAATGTTTTGTGAATCATTACTTTTATCTCGTGATATACTGTTCATCTCAAACTCCTTTTCACTGCATGATTTGTTAGTAGTATCTCCTGGTCTTTTGCTGTGACAAGATGTACCCAGCACAGGATGTACAGGAGAAGTATCTGCAGTTTCTCCAAAAAAGAGAGAACTTGAAAGATGTTCAGCAAATGTACTCTCAGGTTGTTCCTTCACTGGACAATGGAAAAAGGTTTCATCAAAGTTAAGATCTTTTAACAAGGTATTGAAATATGTACTAGGCAACTCTTTGGATGAGCTTTTTAGGTCTTCATTGTTTTCTGTTACTTTTGTGTTTGTTTCAGCATCGTTTTTAAGTAACTGGCCATCAGAGTCTACTGCTTTCTTGAACCCCATCCATGTTCGGACCTCTCCATGGTCTGGCAATACCATGAAGTAGTGAGGACTGGAATTGGGTGAGTTCTCTACAGAT